CCGTTGGCATACAAATGGCGATGCTGCCATCACAAAGAAGTTAAACCCTTTATCTCTCTCTGCAGGCAGGATGGAGGCGTGTATGATGAAACCAGAAGTCAAGAAGAAACCAAAGTCGGTGAGAACATTTACAGTTAACACAGAACAAACACAAGCAATGCACAACCCCAACACATCACCCATACGGTGCTTTAAATGTATATACAGCCTGCAGTGCAGATGTTTTAAGTGTTGAAGTAAATTGAGAGTACTTGCACAAATTAGTCAGTGTACAAGCTGCATTTTCCACTGAACAAGTTTTCCTGTAGAATTTTTCAAGTACTTTGCAGGAACGATGCTGGAGGAGTTATTTTGTCTGTGTTTTCAGGTCATCTTAGTGTGTACTGTGTCTTCTAATCCTGGACTGACTTCATCACAAAAAGCTGCACAATATCTTGTTCTTGTTATGGCTGCAAATTGTTATTTATGTATGCTGTATGTCTGAGCTGCTGCAGAGAATATTAGAGACTAATCAGACATCTTGTTAATATCTGCCTAATAGATTAGATACAAGCTAAACCTTTAAACGCCCAAAGCCCAAACAGTACTTAGCATAGCTAACAGCTTCTCTTTTTTTCTCTCTCTTCTCCATTTATAGCACAAACCTGCTCCAAAGCCCACAGAGGTAGAGTGATAAACACATAAATAAATAATTAAGCTGGTGTTTAAAATAATCACATTTGGTTGTTTGCCAAAGTGTATGTGTGGTGGGATAAGGATATTTTAAAGTATGTCATATGCTGTAAATATATTATAAACATATTTTCAGATAAAAAGAAATAAACCACAGGGACCTGAGAAATCCCCTCCTGCTGTTCCTCAGAGACCGACAGATTCTGTAAGTCCTGCGTGTGCACAGAAAATAAAAGATTTCAAATGTATTGACATCAAATGGTTAATGATAATAATACATGCTGACTTATTTGATTTTCCATTGAAATGATGAAGCTAACAGGAGCTGAACTGTTCAAAAACGGCTTCTTCCCGTATGGACGTTAGGTGTGAGATTATTTTTGAGTGGGGTGACCTCTGAGTACAAAAGAAATATCTGCTTTATTATTTTGGTCATTTATTAAAAGCCAATAAAGCTTCTTCTGTAATAAAGGAAACATTTGTCACCTGTATCAATTGGACCTTTACTAACTGATCATTTGATCACATCTGATTAGTTTTAGTCATTTTTAAGATCTTAAATTTTATTATATTTTTTTCCTTTGTTTTAATTTTTTTTGTGTACATTGTTAATTTTTACCTTATATCGTTTTACTTTATGGGCCATTCTTATTTATTTAAACTATTATGTTATTTTTTTGTTTTTTGGGAAATCTTATCTTATTCAGCCTAAACATTTTTCTTAAGCTGTTTTCACACATGCCTGCCAGCCTTGAACACAAGTGATGTGAGAACAGTCAGATCGTTCATCAGCTGGTCTGTAACCTGCCAGCGCTCGAGCACAGTCTTTGTGATGTCACCGATTTGTACCAGTGTGAGATTAGAACAAATAAGTGTCAGGTGACTTCACAGGTAGTGAGTGTCTGCCTGTGAAAAGCACGCAGAGCATTTCCAGTAATCAAATTTACTCCTGCTTTGCCATGAACGTAAGAAACATGAACTTTGAATAATGTTCTGACAGGATTCTCTACAGTTTTGTGTGAAAGTGGCTCTTCAGTCTAAAAAACTGTGTGGTTTCTAAAAATCTGTTTTAAATTGTTCTACTGTACTCATTTATTTCAAAGCAGATTTGTATTTTCTCCACAGGAACTGAGTCACACACAATACAGACTGAAAAAAGTCACAGCAGCATACAATGGGGTGTGTACACACTGTGTTGCTTCTCCACTACTGCTGTTTACCACTTACATCATTACAGCTTTCCTTCATTTTCCTACTTCAGATATCTCGCTCATTTGTGTGACCTTTAAAAACAAGTTTACAACTTTTTTTTCTTTATCAGAACGATGGAAATGTGAAGCAACAACAGACAAAAGATAAACCACCTGAGACGCCCGTGGTCCCACCCAGACCCACAGAGAAGGTACATCACATATCAGGCCCTTGTACAGCAAAATTTTGTATTTTGGTCTCGACAACCCAAAATGTGATGTCCACATATGTGGATGCCAGGTCCTAGGAGGTTAATGCAGTCACCATGTGCAGGGGTCCAGCTGTGAGCACAGAAGCCCCACCCACCTGATTTTCAAACTTTGTTTTTACAAGGGTCAGCCAATCAGAAGCCAAGTCTATTTGTAAGCAAAACGACAGGTGTTGATAAAACTGCTGTACAGCTGACAGACAGCAGCAGTACCCGGTGAATGTGATACCTTCTGATATACTGATAAAGCTTGTCTTCTCTTTCATTTGAAACTATCTGAATTTTGTCTCTAGCACAAACTATAATGGAGTTGCTGCTGGCCCAGTGGTAATAACAGGGTTAAGAGAGCTGTGCATAAACTTCAATGAAATGAAGCAATGTTGTAAAGACGAGTGGGCTAAAAATGACTCCACAGTGATGAAAGAGGCTGATTAAGTCATACAGACAATGATTACTTCAAGTTGTTGCTGCTAAAAGTCTTTCTACAAGCTATTAAGTTACGGGGTCTACTTTGTTTACTGCCTACTAAGTTTTCACATGACGTCACTTCATTTGTAACTTTGTTGAGACCTGCATTTGCCTGTTACAACACTTTGTTTTGGTTAATGAGCAACTTGTTTCATATGTAACAAAATCGTAGATGTTGGCGCCCGTGCTTTAGGGTATAGCCACATTTGTTTTTGTGGGGGTTTTTTGCGTCTTGTTTTTTGTTTATCAATCACATTGTTGGCTCTTTTTTTCAGGCCAGCAGAAAGCAGAGTCCAGATTCTAGCGAAGAGGAAGTGGCCTCAGAAAACCAACAATCTGTAGAGAAAATCAAGCAAGAAAAAAACGCAGAACCCAAACAGGTACAAACTGATAAAAGAATATTAAAAGTAAAGTTCTGCTTTTCCATTTAAAACACACACATTATATGATTAGTGTGTAGACTTAATGTTGGATAAATTTTTTTTGACTCTTTTTTCTTGTGTTTGTTCTCAGGTCAGTAAAGCCGACAGTGATGCTAAAGATGGAGAAGAAGAGGCGAAAACATCAGAGACGTCCCATGTAAGTTTTGTTGCAGTGGCATTAGCATTGGGGAAAAACTCCACGGGAGGAAAGAGGCAAAGATGCCATCATTTAAACACAAAGCTCTAATTCTGTGTATGTATTTAGATCCTGTTCATAAGCCGTACAGCAGCTGTCTGGAGTAACTTTGAATTAATTTTGCTGCTGTGTTTATGCCAAAAGAAAAACAAGAAAAAACAAACAAACATTCCTTTGCAGGGAAAGAGAGGTTTCTTCTCTGGTATCCTTAAAAACAAACAAAAAAAATCACCAAATGAGATGTCAGCACAAGTGAGTGTGCACTGTTTCTTAAATAATAAAATAATGTAAAATGTAGAAATAAAAATGTTCTTCTGCTTCCCTGGCCACTGTGTCTGTGGGGATGGTGTTTGCTCTGTGTTCTAGCATCCTGATGATACCAGGTTTGTGCTCCAGTGGATGATGAGAGTCATCACTACTGATAGAAATCTCACAGTCTAAGAGGCTAACCTGCCACTTTTCATATCCTCCCTGGTGAATTTGATGTGTTGGTCCACCGAGTTAATGTGATCTGTGAATTGTGGTACATCCTGAGATTTGATTTTCACCCAGACAATCAAATCTCAGGATCAGGAGGGGTATAGGGCTCACACAAATGCACTGTTTATTAAGACGCAAGCTATAAATTTCCAGGATCTGGTGAAGTTTAAAACAGTGCAAATAATATATAAAGCAAGGAAAGGGGATGCTCCCAATCAAAATAAGTAAATGGTTCTTAGAGAGAGAAGGGAGGTATAATTTTAGAGGGAAGTGGAATTTAAAAATACAAAGGGTAAGAACAACTTGGACAACAAGGATGTCTATTTCAATAGCGGGAGTTAAATTCTGGAATGAGTTAAAAGAAGAAATGAAGGTCAGTAGTGATATAAACCAGTAAAATAAAACTCAAAAAATAAATTTTAAATAAGTATAAGAATGAAGAAAATGCAATTAACCCAAGACAGCAGCAAAGTGATGTTTATTTTCCTTTGCAAAATAGTAAATCTAAACATAGTTTTAGTCGAATGTGAGAAAAGCTGAAACCATTGTATACGTT